CAAGCAAAACATGTTTAGTCACCGCAGAGCATAGCAAACTGCAAAAACCAACACCAACTTTTAACAAGTACAGCAAAGGAGGGACCATGGTGCAGATTGGATAAACTAAGATCGAGAACAAATGAATCAAATCGCGACCCACAACTGTTTAACAGATATAAATTCCTTAATATTCTCTGGATAGTCTGTCGTTATCTCAAGCCCTTATTGCCCCACGTTGGGCGCCAAAAAGGACTGTCATGGTTTAACCCGGCTGGCAACTCAGCACCACGCAGCCGCTTGCTCACTCCCCCCTCCCTCAGTGGGATGGGGGAGAGAATCGGAAAGAAAATAAAAGGTTAGAGCCGAGGGCTGAGATAAAGACAGTTTAATAAGAGAAAATAATAATAATAGTAGTAATGAGAATGATAACAGAATATACAGAATATACAAAACGAATGATGCACAATGCAATTGCTCACCACCCGCCGACCGATGCCCAGCCCATCCCGAGCTGTGATCAGTCCTCGAGCCACGAGCAGTCCCCGAGCCGCGACCAACCAACCGACTGACCCCCCCAAGCATGACGTTATATGGTATGGAATAGCTCTTTGGTCAGTTTGGGTTAGCTGTGCTAGCTGTGCTGTACTTGTTATGCACCTGGCCGAGCAGGAGAAGCTCAAAAAGTCCTTGAGTAGTCTGAGCACTACTTGGCAACAGCTGAAAACATCAGTGTGTTATCAACATTCTTCTGGTACTAAATCCAAAACACAGCACTATGCTAGCTACTAGGAAGAAAATTAACTCTACCCCAGCCAAAACCAGGACAACAAGCAACAAAAAGCTACCAGGAAAAGTAACCAGAAGATTTTGAGTCTATTTCCTATCTCTAAGAGAAACTAGGATTTTCCACATTTAAGATAAATACTCAAATGAATTACATGGCCTGTATGAAATTAAATAAATCTGTGATCTGTTATTTTATATGAACTACATTGTGTCAAACATGAGAACAGATCCTATTTCTTACCCATACTCAAAGACTTCCTGGGATTGCTACAGAAATGGAGGTTCTTCTTGAATAGGCTTGTTTCATCTTTTGGTCACTTAGATGTGAGATTTCATTGTGTTTTTCAAATGTATGAACTAGCTGCCATTTCTCACTCCTCTCAATAAAGGGAAGCTTCTTAAATCCCATGTTTTAAATACAAAATACTAGCTAACACGTGTACAATAACTCAATGTCTTTGAACTGCTTACTACTCTCCTCCAGATACCAGAGGAATTGGGATATATTGTAATATCAGTTTTCACCACTTTGCATATTGCAAGGACAAGTTGCTACGCTTATGGTACTGAATGATGCTAAAGCTTTGCATTGATAATACTTAAATACTCTAGACTGCTCTAAGGTGTGTTCAAATGAAAGCATAATTACACTAAGGCTTGGCACATGTCGTTACATATTTGTGCATTTAAAAGTAATGGCCCACCTTGGGAGAGAATCTGGAAGCAAACCAGAATGCCAGGTGCATCTGGAAGAGATGATTTTTCTTTCTTACAGTCACTTTACTAATATGGGGTTTATGAAATTTAGTAAATCCTGTCTTCTGATAATGACGGGTAATGGTATTTTTTTTAATCCTTATGTGTTCTAAGGTTCTGTTTGGTTTGCTTTTAGTTTTTTCTGGTTGGTTTGTTTTTTTTTTTTTAACCCCCATCTCAAAATTCTATGCTAAATCTTACCTTCCTGCATCTTTCTGAGCTATATGAAGATGGGTAGGAAAGCACAACTGTAGAAGCTGAAGGGTGAAGTGTAGTACTATACATAAAGTTATAAAAGTAAACAATCCTAGTAATAAGCTTTACTATGATAGCACTAAAACTTTGAGGTTAGACCTTTGGTTTCAATGGAAATATCCTGACCTGTCCTAGATATAAACAAAGCCGGTGTGAAATATTAATTTATTATATATTTAGTTTATAATAATATATAAGGTATCCTATATTTCAAATATTCTGGAAACTTGGTTATAAAAATATGCAATAATTTTGAACAAAACTGTGTCTATAATCACCAATACAGTCAACTACACTTATTCTTAAATATGTATGTTACCAAATGCTAAATGACGCCTAGAGGAAAAAAAAAGGCAAATCATTTTGCTTGCATTCTTGTCAGCTTAGAGCATGGCCCTACTTGAAAACTTGATAAATCAAAATCTATTACTTGGGGAGACAACTTTGTTCCTTTGTACTGAATGTTGCACCCAAATTTTTAGTTAAAATGGCTAATTTTGAAGTCTGTGATCCTGAAAGCTACAAAAAAGTCAGATAATTTACCCAGAGAGTGCTGGGTCAAAGCATCTGAAGACTGCATGCACCAACACAAGGTATCTTTGTTCATACTGTTTCTCATTCACTGTATGGCCTTCACAATAGGAGGAAAAAATCCACCTTAGTTTATCTCCAAAAGACACTCTTAAAAAAGGTGCATCTGTCAAGTGTGTCCTGGGGAGATGTCAGCAATTGATCCTCCTCAGATAGCAATAATGCTTTTGAGTTTCACCCTGCTTGCCTCAGGAGAAATTTCACTTTGCTTCAATTACAGAACCGTCATAAAGCACCACTGACCCTATAATACTGCAAGTAATACACCATTTAGAATTCAGGTAATAATATGATATATATACATAATAGATATAATTAATAAAATTAATATGTAAAATAATTCAAGTGATGTTATATTGAAGTCGTCAACCCCAAATTGGAATTATAAGTAAATATCTATTATATACTGGCAACAAGAAGAATTTGCTATTCCTTTCCCTCCATCAACTTTATATATAATTAGGGGAAATAATACCGTCTTTTCATTTCCCATCTGAAAGTTAGCACATGAACATAGAACCGTGTTAATCCAGCTCAAAGATGTTAGCAACACTTACTTTATGAAAACCAGGACTTTAGTCCCCAAAAAAGATTTTGCTTTTTTTATTCAGCCTTACTATCAAATAAACTGATATCTCAGCAATAATGTTTTAGCAGTTACTCAAGTTCTTATGTCACTATTCTGTTTAGGTGAAATGCAGAAGAAAGGCTTATATAACTTTTTGCTAATAGAAAGCTTCTGTCTCCACCAGAAATAAGCTTGAAGTTAAGAAATGTCTGAATAAATTAATCTGACTACATCTGAGTATTAGATATACATCTTGAAAGTATTAAAAATACTGAGGTACAACCAGACATGTCGATACTCATTTCTCTGCAACTGCTGAAAGATTTAACATATCTACTAACACAGCATACTAGAGTTTTGCAGTGAGGCATAGCAATAGACTTGTATGTTTGCATTCCTTTGACCTGATGTCTTTGCTAATTACCGTTCAAGTAATTTAGTTGTTTTGCTCATAGCATTGTTTTGGGTTTTTATTATCTTGCAAAAAGAAATTTTAAAAAAGTTCTTATAAAAATAGGACTAAAATTAACATCATCTTGTATTAGAAGCTTCAAACATAATTACATTGACTTTTCCATTGGAGAAAAAGTATGTCCTGATGCATATAACCAACTTGATTACCACTGTCCAGTTTAGAGAAATTAATTTGCAACAACAAAAAAGCCTTAACAAATTACAAACATCTGACAAAAACATGCCCCACCTTTTTAATCAGAGACTAAAGTAGCCATATACATATACAATTTTTTAAAATAGCTTACCTACACTGGTGTATCATCCTACAGAGCTTCACATGGTGAAACCTGCCGATGCATTCTGCTGCTGACAAGAACAATGCTGATACCTGTAACCAGATGTGGTCCATTAGCACATGCTGAAATTTTCACCAGTGCGCCTTAATCTAGCTCTGAAATACTATGTACCAGCATGCTTTAGACAGATCTGTTATAAACTTATACTTGTATGGCTACCAAGCTTAATCAGCTTAATAATAAAAATCTTTCAATGTTGTCATATTTTCAGGCGTATACTGTTTCTGAAGCCATGTGCTTATAACGCAATTTTTGTCATACCCTTCTAAGCACAATTTGCTATATATGACATTGAGGTACAAAGTATCAAAGGCTAGCTAAAACATGGGTATATTGCCAAAGGTAATGTATGCCTTTGATCGCCTATCTTTGTTTATCTGAATGTTTGAGATGAACTTGAAAGACAACGGATAAATAGGCTTGTGCTGAAAGCCAAATACTTTTTTTTTCTTACTTTGCATAGCTCTTTACAACAGAATCCAGTGAACGAGTGTTCAGTTTCTCTTAGTACATGAATGTATGCACGTGGCTAAAATTGACTTTGAATTTGTTTTCTTGCTGGATGCACTAAACCTCTGAATGAGGCCAGGTATTTATAACCTTATACCAGGTATTTATAACCTTATACCAGGTATTTATAACCTTATACCTATATTCTAATTAGCCTGGCTTTATCTGGGAATAGCAGGGCTGGAGAGCAGCTTGGATACGCTGGCTAGACTGCTTTTGATTACCTTGTGTCTTAGAATCTTCCTTTGATAAAAGCAGAGTGTGACGTCAAAAAGAACGTAAGTGTTTCTGCATGCAATATAAACATATGACAATAATAGCTTCCTCATCAAAACTATTAAAAAAAAGTTTGTTTTTAATGAAGAATCACAACAAATAGGATTTATAAAAAGATAAAGGGAAGCTTTACAATTTTTTCTTTTGTTGTCTATCATCCCTCCATGTTTTTGAACATATATACACACACTTAAATATAGTCTGTACATACACACATCTTCCTATTTTACCCTATTGCTATGGATTCAATACTCGTGATTCTTCACCAAAACCTGAAATTTTGCTGTCATCCTGATGTAATTCATTGTAATGAAGAACTTCTAGAGAAACTAAGGACTGAATGTAGTTCAGTTACCACACACTAGAAATTGTTTGTACAGAGGAAAAATAATGCAGAGCTTGAGGTCATGCCAAACCAGATGATCAGTCTCTTTATGTAGCTCTGTATTGGGTATAGTAAAAAATCTTCTGCAGCTAAGCAATTATATATTCAGACTAGGTTCTAAAAATGTTTGTCAGGAAAGAGCTATTTATGCTTTGTTATTTTTAAACCGTACTACCTAACTCTGAATAGATTTTATTGTGGTTAGGCTTTTTCAGAAAGTCAAAATAAACCAAATAAACCAGTTTGGTTGGGTTTCAAAAATAGAATACATGTATAAATCAAAGTGCTGTATTTGTCTATGAAGTAGGAATGACTGTTCAAATAGCAACAAATTAAAGCCTAGCTTATTACATTTTTTCCCCCTGTTTGAGCTCCAATAAGGCTTATTCAGACTGATGGTGCAGGTGGCAACCATCAGTTCAACATCTCCACATTAAATTTCTAAAACATTATTCTACAATGATTTTCATGCTTTGATATTCTCAGTATACGGGGGTATACCAATTGACTTGGTACGTCTGTCTCGGTACATTTGTCTTGTGTTCCTAAATTCCATCTGTGATGAAAGGAATGTTGCCCAGATTCTCGATCCTTTTATTGGGAATCTAACTGCTGTCTCTCCAACACATTTCCAACTACAGGGAAAAACCACTACTATGGTTACCTGACAAAATACAACTATACCTGTCAGGCACAGTTTAACAGAGGTCATGCTGAAATCATGTGGCTTTAGTGATATTTTTTTTATTTTCTGTCAGCTTGTACTGTGTTTGCAAACAAACAGGTAGCCAAGGTCCGTAAAAGCAAATGAGTCAATGGATGTGGGCTGAGTCATGCAGCAAGGACAACCGTCTGTAAGCAGGACCTGAGCTTTCAATCTCAGGTGTCAAAGTTATGACCAGCATTCTTATGTGTCACAACTTCTTTTCACACTAGAAGAAAATTAAATCTTGGTAGTAAGTACTGCAAATGAGTATCTAAAATTCAGGAAAGCAGCTTAACTGCTCCTGTCTGGAGAAGCGTCTGAGAGAACTGGATGGGCTCGTGCAGTGCCTCTGAATTTTCCTAGAAGCAAACTGCACTGCACTGAAATTGGAGAAGCAGAAGTTCTCTGCTGCTGCATGTAACAAGCCCAGAGACACTGGATAACTATAATACCATAAATTACAGCAGGAGCATATGGAGGACTGAAAGCTAGTACAGTTTGCTGAAAATTTTAAGAATGTTTCATGTAAGATTATCAGTGAAAGAAGGCTAATTAACTTTTTTTTTTAAATAAGAGATTATTGCTTACTGTTTGTAGAGCCGCTTGCTCAGAACAACTTATTTATTACTGTAAGGCTTAATGAAAACCTGTTTCAATTTTACTCTGAAGTGTTCCCATAAAAACTTGCATTGAAAATCCACTGCAATTGATGTTTTCATCAAATATTTTTATTGTTAATATAAGGATGACCCAAGAACCATGTAAGTATGAATACCTAATAGATGGATTATAGTATCAGAGACGGAATTGATTCTGGAAGAATATACAAATCTGTAGAGGATTATAGTCCTTGACATTACAAGGAATTGCATGGTTTTTAGATAAATGTTTCTTAAATGAAAGTGTTGAAGCAGTTAAAAAAAAAAAAAAAGAAAAAAGATAATAATATACAGAATGAAGTGGTCAACAGAAAGAAAAAACTTCTTTGCAGTATTGTGGAGGTAACTATAGCACAACGTATTTATGTCTGGCCGTGTGGCTCACAGGGTGTGCATGCGCGCGCGCGTGTGTGTGTGTGTGTGTGTGTGTGTGTAAAACATAACAAAAGAAACTTTGCATGACAGCTCCTGGTAACTGTCTTAAAGCATTTAAATTGCCTTGCCCCTGCAAGTAAATTAACTGAAGTGAATTTAAAAATAGATACTGAAGCATGAAGTAATAACAGCATCTATGAGGTTTGTATCAGACAGTCCATTCTGTATGATAAAGTACATGACTTGACTTTACACTGAGACAAAGATTTATGAAAGAAAATCCTTGTGGGTTAAAACCTGCAGATACACAAGGCTATGCAACCCCGTCAAATAGCCTGACTGACTTCCCCTGAGTTCTGAGTGCAGGAATTTTTTAGATGGATCTGCTTCCAGAATCCAGCCTTTCCAGGGAACTAATGAAGTCACTACATGCTTAATCTATGACTGAAGCTTATAAATAAAGACTGAAGCTTTCAGAAGGAGGTGTCTTTTGTGTTGTGCCTATGGAAAGTCAGATGTTACTTTCATAGGGAAAAGAAAAACTCCCAAGATTTAGCTTCACTATTTGGCTGAAGAGATTCTGAACAGAGTGGAAGAAAGGTATGCACTGTAGCCAGCCCAATAGCAACCACATTTAGTTGGATATGGATAAAATAAAAAGTTCAGTTTGTTCAGGATAAAACAACAAAAATAGTTAATGTGAACAGACTGTGCTATAGTTCCCATTCCAGCAAAAAAAGTTTACTGCTTTGTTAACAGCTTCAAATATAAGATGTCCTGTTGTTGTAATGTACACGATTTAAAGAACAAAATTAAAAAAACCCCAAGCAAACTATAAATTACATTCCTACCCCTCTTCTTTGATCAATTCAGTGACATGGGGAATAGTAAAGTCCTTCAGCTGCACTATAAACTGTTTATGCACCATCAAACAAATAAGATATTCCTTATTTGGAGTACTTATCCTTTAGGTTGCTATTGCTTGACTTGTTCAAGGCCACTTTCTTCATGGCCTCTGTACATTGGACTTCTTTTGTATCTAACTAGACTTAAATTTTTCCCAAGCAATGTTCTTTTACTCAAAAAAAAAAAAATCTTAGGGGGGAAAATGAGTAATATATAGCATATGTTAAAATAACATGCAGAAGTACAATGCTTTGAATGTGGCTCAGGTTGAATAACCCTGGATAAAATGGCAAAGTTTGTCTATAGCAATCCTTGGCTTGAGGAGTAAGGGAGCAAGATTTGATAACCAAAATTCCTAATAAAGTGTGTATATACCTTTCTTCTTTTTCCCCAGCCAGCATTACACCCTAATTCTTGCTACTCATTCTTCTGAGGCTTACAGGTATCTTATGTACTAAGGATACAGTTAAGGTTATACAATACCGCTCTAAAATGTTTTACACTTTTTGAGACTCCCCAGATAATCACAGTTAAAGAGACTGAGAATATACAAATATTGCACACAGCAAACTGAACCACAACAAATAACTTTTACATGCTTCTTTTCAGCAGTCAATATTAAAACTCTTCTCAAAGATGGTCACTCAGTATCACCCATCCCATTTTTAACTATGAGGAAACTAAAGTCTGTGAAGCTGAGATGGCTTTGCTTGTGTGACATACCCACTGGATGAAAGGGAGTTCCCAAAGTCTACAAGCATGAGACAGATTTGCCTAATTAATGCCACTAGCCCGCTCTAAACCCTATGGCGCTGGTTCTTCTCTTTCTAATCACTCCTCGGGCTGCTTTTTACAGAGGTAGAAAACACTTCAGATGGTGAAAATGTAAGATTTGATTATATGCCTGGGCAAATGAAAGTCTAATACCCGGACATTCACATGTTAAACCTATTGTAAACCCAACCACTAAACATGAACATAAACCAGATCAACCTCAAGAACAATGCTAATAATTTTCACTTTCTTTTGGAAAGTTTGTTCAATTTTTTTTCCCTTCTACTTTAGTGCTGTAATGTTTGAGGTTTTTTGCTTTGTTTCCTTGTTTGCTTTTCTTTTTCTTTCTTGTAATTATTGTATTCCTTTGCATGTGCTGAATTGTTTAACCTTCTGAAATTTGGCTCGCTTTCCTCCGTATCTGTGTCCATTTGTTCCATGACTACAATCCTTCAACCTTCTACTCTCTTGAAAGAGGTTTAAAACTTTATGAATGGTCTTCTGCCAAAACCACCTTTTCTGGAGATGGTTATCCCCCTTTTCTTTCCCTTTTTCTTTCTAAGCTTCTTATGGCATGTTCTTATTCATATTTTACATTACATATTTTAAGCTCCTTTGGCATGTTTTGCCAAAAGATGTACTGCTGTCTACCATATTACATGGATATGCTTAGTCTTAAACCATATGAATATTTAATGTACACATTGCTTTGAGTTTGTTTGTCCTGGGCCAACTCAGATACATGGATATGACTCCTGTTAAAGTCATGTGCATCAGAGGACTCCTTCAGTATAAACGTGACACTTGAGAGAGAAAAGCCACTCTAAGAATTTGAAAAGAATTATTTGCATTCATAAATTTTTGTAATTGGTAGATACCATCTTGGTCTGGATTTGTTTTTCTGGAAGGTCTAAGCCCATGGCAACGGGGTAGAGAAAAAGAAGAGACTAAGCGCTTTTTCTAATAGAAGGGTTGAAATCTCCACATGGTTTGTCTTGTAAGAGTGCTACAAAAGTCCAGTCAAATCTTTCTTTGAGCACTATCCTCTAAATTGAAGGCATTATTACACTGGCATAAGTAGGTAACTTCTAGAACATATGGGAGTAAAGTACTGAATCACAGTTTTCTGGAGACATGGCAATTTCTGTTTCAGCCTTCCAGAGCTCCTGGTTGCCATCCCCATTTCAGTCTCTGGCAACCATACCTCTTCCTGAAGGGCACCAGTGGCTAAAGATTTGGTAGGGTTTTTTTCTTATTTGGTGCTTAGTAGAAGCAAGCCCAACAGTGCTGCTTTTAACTTGCCTTTGCTATGCCTCTATGATGTTAATGTGACTTTAGCTGAACTCAAGCCTTAGTTTGTATCAGAATAAACCTTCTTCTGTAGAGAAATCCCAAAGAAAGCTGAGAGAATTTTGCTGGAGGCTCTCCCTAGTGAAGTGCTTATTTAATTAACAATTAATGTAACTTATATGACTGTCAATGCAAACATGTACGCTCTTTAAAAACAGTTCTAGGAGAGATGTTTCACTTTGCAACGGCTATGCTCAGAAGCTTTGTTTTGGGATGATAAATTAACTTTACCATTTAACGTGCAGTGCTGTACATTTTCAAAGCCTGACCTAACACAGGTTAGCTTGTGGTGCATTGGCAGTACCTTAACAGACAGCCGAGTCCTTCAGTGTCTTTCCTCTTGCATGGAGGCTCTGCCGAGTTCCATACAGGGGACTGCTGTCTGACAGCTGTTCCCTGTCTCCTGCAGGAAAAAAGGTTGCACGCTGTATTTTTTTCCTTCCCAGATACCTTTCCCAGCGGTTCACACCCCACCCCTCTCAGCACGTACCGCCCCTTGGGAATTTCTGCCTGTTCCCTTCAGAAACAGGGTTTGCTTTTGAACAGGTCTTACGGGCTCTGTGCTGGAGCGCGGCTGCGGCGGCCCGCGGAGGGGGCGGCCCTGCCCGCGGGGCCCCGCTGCTGCGCACACACCCGTGAGCGATCTTGCTG